AGTGTTGGTCCTATTTTTTCTTCTATGAACTTTATAGTTTTAGGCTTTATATATTCAGGTCTTTGATCCATTTTGAATTAGCTTTTGTATACAGCCTGAGGTATGGGTCCTGTTTCATTTTTTTGCAGATGGATATCCAGTTTTGCCAGCACCATTTGTTAAAAAGACCATCTTTTCGCCATTTGATGGACTTTGGGCCCTTCCTACCTGGAAGTTTTCACAAGGAATCTCAGATTGGACTTTTGAAAGTCTTCTAAAGCCTCTATTGTTTTCTATCCTGAGGTTAGGAAGCCAAGCCCAACAAACCATACACCAGATTTCACCTGTGCTACCTATTTAATTGGAGCATCCCTCTCTTCTCAGGTGACTAAAATATGTTAAAATTCCTGCCCTACCAGAAAGTGGCCTTCCTGACCACCATGAGGCTACACCATGTCAGCCAGGCCCCAGGCCATGTTTCCTGGGTGACCTTTGCAGGCATTGGATCCATGTCAGCCTAGTTCCTTAAAAAGCAGCTAGTCTAGCCTGACTCAGTGAGCATCCTTGTCAAATATGGTGCTCCCAGTAAGGCCTTGGTTGCACAATCAGTTTGTTTAATTATATCTGGATAAAAAAGGTGCAGACCTTGAACTTATGCAAATAACTATGTTAAAATATAAAGTAAGATTTCATAAAAAAACAAACCAAACCCGTCAATGTCAAGTTGATTCCAATTCATGGAGACACCTGTAGGACAGCGTAAAACTGCCTCATAGGGTTTCCAATCTTTACGGAAGCAGACTGCCACATCTTTCTTCCATGGAGCAGCTGGTGTGTTCGAACTGTCGACCTTTCGGTTAGCAGCGGAGTGCTTCAGAATTCATAAGAGGGTCTGAATTCTGGAGAGTTAGAGATAAACTTAAAAATGTTTCATTTTATGTAGAAAAACAGAATTTATTAACTTGCTATCAGATACAGATAACTTAAGAAGAAAAAGAAAGGATTTCATTTGGTATCTGGAAAACAAAGCAATTTTCCAAACAGAACCAAAATAAAATAAACGTCTGAGTTCATGCATTCCTATTTTGTTAATTCTTCTGCTACTGGATCTAGAGTTAGCATTTCACTTTCATGAAAACCAGTTCTTCTGAAAATTCTAGAAAGTCTGACTCAGTCTATTGGATTAGTCTGAGTTGTGTGAGAAGTCTGTACCCAAGGGTCTATTTTTGAAGTGTCATTGATTTGAATTACCTAATACAGTTCTTTTCCTGAGACTGTCCTTCATCGAAGATACCAACTCTGGCCTATAGCCCATAGCTTATAGTACAGCCTCCAGGCAAGCTTCAGAGTAAGAACAAAACTACCTACAGATGACAGGAGAAATTTTATAATAAGAATAATGCAACAACCAAGGAAATTTGACTGTTTCTGTGCCATGCAAAATGAAGGCAATAAAGTCATTCCAAACATAATTTTTAGATAATGTATTTATAGAAATAATGATTTAGCCTGTTTTTTTTTTTTGTTTGTTTTTTTAATGAGTGAAGGTTGCATCTGGCTTATGAAATTGGGTGGGCAGAGTTTTTTAGATAAAAGGTATATCAATCCTAAGATACACTTTTTTAATGCTAAGTATATATATAGTACAAGATCAGTAAGTCTATAGAGTAGAATATAGACATCTGTCTTAGTCAGCTAGTGCTGCTGTAACAGAAATACCATAAGTGGATGGCTTTAACAAAGAAAAGTTTATTCTCTCACAGTCCAGTAGGCTACAAGTCCAAATTCAGGGCATAAGCTCCAGGAGAAAGCTTTCTCTCTCTCTGCTCTGGAGGAAGGTCTGTGTCATCAATCTTCCCTTGGTCTAGGAGCTTCTCTGCGCCGGAACCTCAGGTCCGAAGGACACGCTGTGCTCCCGGCACTGCTTTCTTGGTGGTGTGAGGTTCCCATGTGTCTTTGCTTGCTTCTCTCTTTTCTATCTCAAAATAGATTGGCTTAGAACACTATCCAATCTTGTATACCTCATCAGTATAACTGCTGCTAATCCATCTTATTACATCATATTGATAGAGTTTACTACATACGGGGAAATCACATCAGATTACAAAATGGTACGCAGTCATACAATACTGGGAATCATGACCCAGCCAAATTGATACACACGTGTTTTGGGGGATATAATTCAACCCGTGACAACATCTGTATTTTTACGAAACATTGGTGATGTGGCTGGTATGAATTCCCCATTGGAAATCATTGGTCTGTGAGATACTAGATTCAAATTAAAGAAGTAAACTTGTGGCCAAGTAAATATTTTAAATAATACCTGAGATTTTGACTGTAGCACTATACAATTGTGGCCTATTATCATGATCAAAGCCCCACCAGGACTATAATAAATATAGGAAATCCATAAAACTATTCCCTGGAGGTTGGTCACTGTTTCACCTGAAGATAGAAATATGGACAGTGAAACATTGATGGGAACTTCACATAAGGCATATACTTTCTGAAATATTTATATTAATATTATTTTAACTATACACATTGAATGTGAGTGTCTCTTCTATTTTAGAACCGTAGTAACACATCAAACAAATCTAATTGTTTCTAGGAGCGCTTTTTCTATAAGGGCTGTAAATTGACCATATTTATAGTATCAAATATAATATTTAAGTTATTCTTTTGTATTAGAATGACAGATTTTTTGATGTATTAATCTTGCTTTTGTCCTTGAAACAAACCATGTCTTCTAATGTTTAACTCTAGTATAGCATCTTTTTTATTTCTTCATTTCT